CGAAGAGGGCCGATTCAAAGCACCGTACTAAGCCATTCAAAGATGTCCGGAAACTTGGATGTATTCCAAAATCAAGTAAACGGTACATAAAATACCTGCACTCGGTGTGCAACCCTTGCACCTTTAGAATGCACATTTTACGATGCCCTATGGTACGCCAATTATCTATTGCGTAAAGGGAGGCTTTTTCGTGGGATATATGGTCTAGACACCTAATAAGGCCGGAAAGCCCCTTAGTGATTTTCCAATTAATGGTAATAGGCCCGGTCCTTATCGGCCCATGAAGAAATTGAACCGTACAGATCGGACTAACATGAGGAATCGTAGTTTTGCTCTTGACCACCTGGTCGCGAAAGACAACTTATGGTGGCAAATCTGAAATTCAGCACATACGAGACTTCTCTACTGAGAGGCCCGAGTTGGGCAGTCCATTTCGGATGAAAATATGTCGGTGAGCAAGAGGGAGGACGAAAGATCCACTGATTACTGGAATGTTGGACCTTGGAAGTGGATACGACACAGGATGCTTCCGTTTCCGTACATTCGGTTCTCTGCCCGGCCAGCGCGCTTGGCTACTGGACTAGGACCGAGAGGAGGCTCGCGTATACGGAGGAGTTTGCACCGCCATAAGAGCTAAGTTTTGCCGATTGGCCCACAGAAGAGGATTCATGATATGTACAGTTGCGGCCGCGTTGAGTTAAACGAGTCCATTGTGCCAAGGTATGCAATGCAAGATGCATATGATATATGCTTGGTCTCCACTATACTACTTCCATGTGCCTATAGAACCTATCGACACCTGCGCATTGGATAATCTAGTTTCTTTCGAAAGACTGAAAAGTGGGGATGAGATTGGCTACGGACCGATGCGGTATTTGCAAATCCCAAAGGAAAGTTGCATATAATGTACCATGCACGGTTTATGCACCTAAGAGCTCCGTAGTTCCTTGTTATTTTTGCTTTATTGCATTTATGCTGCGTCTGCTTGGTAATATTGAGGTGGTCCTTAAGCAATTCTTGACACCGCCAGAGGAGAGGTGAAAAAACAGTCACACCGCATCGGAGGAATCTATATACGAAGAATTGAACGTGTTCTGATATCATCCCTCATCATGTTACGAGTACGGAATTGAGTACCAATTGCCCTGTCATCAAGTTGTTCGATAAAAAATTGAATGATACTATTTTGATGCTAGCTTGTCCGAAGCCAGCGAGCCTGTGCGTTTCATAGTTCTACCGCGTAGTCTCAAAGCAATCTGCGCTCGCATTGACTGTATGCATAACTCAAATTCGATACTCTCAGTTGCTGGGGAAGCAAACTAGGGTAAGATAGGTACTCTTATCCTAGTATGTACCAAAGAACAGTACGGAGTACTCCGTGGTCCTAACCCTTTGCCGGCGGGCGATCTATTGGATCACAATATATTTTGCGACCGGACTTGCTACGGCTCCTCATGGCAAGTTTGTCAGATACCAGGCTCTATGGTGCAGACCTCCGACTTACCTGGCCCATTCCATAGCCTTTGCAATCTACATACGCGTTACACCCACAACTGTGCATCTCTGGAGTCAGCACGGATGCCATTGAGTGGACCCCAGCGGACGTAACAGCGATGTGTTGCTGATCATCGTTCATGCTCCATGGTGCTTCAGAGCCCCGGACAGCGAACACTCGGCGAAGGGATTAGGAAAGGGTTTGGCTCAGGACAGGAACCACCGAGCGGTCTGAAGGGCTCCACACCTTGCAGGACAGGGCGCACTGGCCAGCTTAAGCGGCGCTAATCGGGCGCTACTTTTCCGTTGCTGTGGGGCCCTTCGACTCGACTCCCGACTCCACCCTGTTTGCTCTGGCCTCAGCGGCGGTTTGCCATGGTACAGAGACCGGCCCGAGCAAGGGTTGCGACTTTCACGCTACACGTACATCTGGCTGAAATACAAACAGTACGGTCATCCCCGGAAGTTTCTTCAACTCCCACTAGAGTATATCTTTATGCATTATACCTGTCAATGATGGCTTGACAGTTGTCTGACGCCACAGTACAGGTACTCCACCAATTTATTAGATACCGGCAGCAAGGGAGCAACCCACCGGACCGATTAGGAAGGATGCTCTCCAAATCAACTCGCCATTCTCAACAAAATGGACTAATTCCGAGGGTGCACCGTCTGCTCTGCTCGGGCAAGGTCAACAATCAAAAGATTCCTGTGTTATAAAAAGACTCTGAGACTCCGTCCTCAACTTGGGCCTTATCTTTCCATTTGGTTTGTTGGGGATATGATATGAACGATCTTACAAAACTCCTGGTTTAGACCCCTGTCCGGACCCAACCCGTAAGGTAGCCATATTAGCAGCTCAGTAATTATGACTACTATCGACACAGTGCACATGAGAAACTGGGTATAGCAAGGCCAACCCCTCGGTAAAGCGATCATTTTGACCAAGACTGAAATCTTGTTTTTACCACCTTGGTACATTTGATCAACATCGTCTCGGCTTCAGTCTTCTCCATTGCGACTATCAGATAAGGTAATCGGCTTTCTTCTGTAGCCGGGCAGTACCTGGGACGTTAATTCGGCCTCCTTGCGTCGTCATCCCTGCAACCCTAGAAGGGCCGGTACCCCTCCGTAACGCCCAAGCCCCAATGATAGGACAGCCTTGGCCTCATGACGAGCTATGATGAGACAGCCTCCAAGGCCTCCCACCATGCAATTTGAGATCCCTTTATTACCCAGTCATCGGAGCATCATTGAAGCAAGGGGAACCCAGACAAAGCTCGAGTTATCTCTTATCTGTATGGAGGCGTACCAACGCATGTAATCTTCCCGATGCCGGCAAAGTTTATTTTACCGCTAGGATTTTAACTTTCGGCAGCCGATCAGTACCGCTTACATTCTCGATACCTCAGGGATACATTGACAGTACATCCACCGTGCTCCGAGCATAGAGGACGCCGCGGCTTGCCTACCAGGTTTCTGGGACGGACCAGGGAAGTAACGTGCGAGATGGAATTGGCCAGATGCCATTGATACGGAAGGGGAATATTCTCAGCCATTCACAGCTAGACATGCTACGATCTGTCCATGACGGCAAACCTGTGGGGTAGCACGATGATTGAAGGGCATTTACGCCTACGATCCTGACATTCTAATAGGATGTTTTTATGATAGTGATGGGATAATGCCCAGAAATGTGTTAGGCTTCTCAATTACCTCGATTAGAACCCTCGGGCTTGGTGGCAAGCGGCGAACCGAATGTCTAATAATAACCACTGAGGCACTGCCTCAGAACAAACATTTCGTTATCGATGAGAAGACCTCTCAAGAAACCAAGACCAGAGCGGAAACTTGCTTGAGCTGCTTTTGCCATCCTTCATGGTGGACAGCTTACGGATGCTTCCTGCACATTTGCCTTGGTTCCGAGGTAATGCATACATGCAAAGCGTGGTGCGTGAACAAGGATACCATTGTCAATAGATCAATGCGTCCGGATTTTTCACAGAAAAAAAAAAAAAAAAAAAAGGAACGAAAAAGGAAAAAGAGTAAATGATATTTGGCATGATAGGAGCTTTTTTCTTTTTCTTGTTGTTTCTTTTCTTATCACTCTGCTGCCTCGTGGAACGTTCTATCATGCTGTCAATCATATTCCAAATCTTGGCTTCGGACTCGGATAGAACTTGCGCGATCCGTTCGGAAAACAACCTCAGAATACAACCCATGATGGGGGAACTAATTAGAAGAATTAAGAATTGAATATTGAGCCATGTCAGAGATATGATATTTGTCCGAGAAAATGCGTGCCGAGGAACTACGGAGATACCGCTGCTAGCTGGAAAAAAAAATAAAAAAGAGAGAGAGAAAGAAAGAGCAAATAAACTCTCCAATCCAATCTACTCTAGCACATCATACCTACATACTTCAGACGAGCATCGAGCAGCATATGCTATTGACGGCACTATCAAATTACGCAGCGTATCGTGCATGGGTCTCCAGCATCGGATGACGAAGACGACCCGGACATGCACCACGCAGTTGACTAGGCATCGGACATGGGGAACGAGGACGATAACAGTGGAACTCTAAATCTATTTTGCCCAGCATAGACTTCTGATATATCCAATCCACGCCATCGAGGGCACTCGATCTCGCGTAACGAAAAAAACCATCGAGAAACGCGGGCCGGACCCACCCAGACTATACCGCCGTACATACGCCGTACAGGGTACAGGCAGGCGGTCCTCGCTTCGTGTCTCCCTTCGGTCCCCTCCTCCCTTCCTCTCCCAGTTTCCTTTCTTCCCCCCCGCCCAAAGCCAATGTCTATTCTGGGCGCTCTTTTCCTTTCGGACAGCGAATGATGTGACTCAGGCGGCCATGGATGAACGGATGGCTGGTCTTGAAAGGAGGATGCAAACTCCACAGGACCACTCAGGATGCAGGATGGGCTCCATCTGCCTGTCCGTCTATGTATCTCGCAGCCCGATGGACTGGCTTTTGCTTGTCCGAGCGACATTGACAGCCTGGAAAGGATCGTCGCTCTTGCTTCTGGTTCAAGGCAATATCAATCCCTCGCTGACCCTCCTGCTTGTCTGTATATCACTATTGATAGTACTCGTACCAATCGCCGAGTCTGATATCCCCTGCAAGTTTTCGGACAAATCTTCGGGCATATTGCCTTCTTTCTTCCATTGGGTCTCTCTTTTATTCTCTCAATGCCACTTTTCGCCATTGCTTTTTAGTTTCTCTTTTTCCCTTCTTACCCCCCGGCTGTCTGTCAACTATCGGACTTTCTCGACAGACTTCCTGTCGGACAAGAGCCATAAAGAGGAACCAGGGCTACGGTGTTCACCTCGAGGCATTGTCACTCAAACACTCTCTGCTCAACCCCTCCCACTACCTGGGTTCTAGCCTAAGGCCGTCTTGTTCCTCTCCAGCGTCTTCAGATACACATGTCCAGTGTATAGAGAAGGACAGAGGGAAACGGTTCATTGCAGTGACCGTCGACGATGAAGTGGGGGTTTGCAGGCTCGCTGCTTGCTCTTCTTGCCTCGACAGCAACATGTTGGCCCTATGATGAGTCCCTAGTCGACTACAATTTAAACGCCAACAAACAAGCCACCGATCCGGCGAAATATTCCCATCCCGAATGGCCCGGCCACAAATACCATGCCTCTCCGAAGAACTGGCGGTTTCCCTTTTACACTCTCTTTCTCGATCGATTCGTCAACGGTGACCCTACGAACGACAATATCAATGGATCTGTCTTCGAGCATGACTTGAATTCAAATCAAATGCGCCATGGAGGTGATGCTGTTGGTTTGGTGGACACGTTAGATTACTTGGAGGGAATGGGTGTTAAGGTAAGTGCTTAAATCCCATACATTGTTCTGTGAGTGCTGATTTCAGTAGGGCATTTATCTAGCAGGAACTGTCCTGATGAATCAACCCTGGGGCTCGGATGGCTACTCAATTATGGACACCACGCTTCTCGATAAACACTTCGGTAACATCAAAACGTGGAGAGATGCGATTGATGAGATACATAAGCGAGGGATGTATGTTTTGTTTGATAACACTATTGCAACGTGAGTTATTCTGCCAAGTGACACCGGCCATTCAAAGTGCTAATTTGTCAATCAGCATGGGAGACTTGATCGGCTTTGAAGGTTATCTAAACGAAACGACTCCCTTCTCAGTGAAGGAGCACAAATCTCTATGGAAGACTGAGCGACAATATGTGGACTTTCACATCGGAAACGATTACAACAAGACTTGTGAATATCCTCGCTTCTGGAACGAAACTGGCTGGCCAGTTGATAGCGATGTTCGGGACGAGCTCGTCGGATGTTACGACAGTGACTTTGACCAGTACGGGGACAGAGAAGCCTTCGGTGTCTACCCGGACTGGGAGCGTCAGCTGGCCAAATTTGCCTCCGTTCAAGATCGTCTACGGGAATGGAACCCAAGCGTCAAGGAGAGACTGATCCGACATAACTGCATGATCATTAAAGCACTCGATATCGACGGGTTTAGATACGATAAGGCCACACAGGCCACAGTCGATGCTCTCGGTGACATGTCTCATGCTTATAGAGAGTGTGCTCGCAGTGTTGGGAAGGACAACTTCTTCTTGCCTGGTGAAATCACAGGTGGTAACAACTTTGGTGCGATCTACCTCGGTCGGGGAAGACAGCCAAACCAATATCCCGACTCTGCCATGGCTTCAATGAACATGACGAACACGTCTGACCACCAGTATTTCTTGCGTGAAAATAATCTGCAAGCCATCGACTCTTCTGCGTTCCATTACTCGGTCTATCGTACCCTCACCAGGTTTGTGGGGATGGATGGAAATCTGGCCGCCGGATATGATACACCTTTGGATTGGACGGATTCCTGGAACGTGATGGTCATGACCAACGACATGGTCAACGCAAACACCGGCAAATTCGACCCGCGGCACATGTACGGGGCCACCAACCAGGATGTTTTTCGCTGGCCTGCAATTGAATACGGGGTCGAGAGACAGCTTCTGGGTCATTTCATCACGACTTTGCACCTTCCAGGTATCCCGATTCTGTTGTGGGGAGAAGAACAGGCGTTCTACATCCTAGATGCTACCGCGGATAACTATGTCTACGGACGTCAGGCTATGTCTCCTGCTACAGCATGGAGAACACATGGTTGTTTTTCTCTCTATGCCTCGCAATATTACAACTGGCCCATAAAGGCAGGAAGGGAAGGCTGCCATGATGATGCAGTGGCCTACGATCATCGCGATCCTTCACACCCCGTGAGGAATATCATCAAGCATATGTTCCAAATGCGAGAAGACTACCCGGTTCTCAACGATGGCTACTCGGTGGTCAAATTGTCCAAGCAAACACGCGAAATTCAATACCCGGGCTCAAACGGCACTGCGACAGAAACCGGTATGTGGTCGGTTCTGCGAGACCGTGTGGCAAGTATCCAGGACCTTGGCAACGATTCTGACAATCAGCCAATTTGGTTGGTATATCAAAATGACAACAAGACCGTGGACTACAAATTCGACTGCGGGAGCAACGACTCTGCGCTCATCTCTCCATTCCTCAAGGATACCACGGTGGTTAATCTCTTCTATCCACACGATGAACACAAATTGAAGGAAGGTCCCAAATCGCTGCATCTCAATGGTTCCAACACCACCAACGGGTGTCTTGACAATTTGAAGCTTAAGCCTTTCGAATTCAGAGCTTATGTACCCAAGACGAACTTCATTGAACCCCGGCCCATGGTTACCCAATTCGATCCTGGCCATGATTTTCCACAGCTCTCGAAGGTTGGTCCCAATGACTCTGAAGATCTCGATGTCAGCATCTATTTCTCGACGAAAATGGACTGTGACTCTGTCACCCGGTCGGTCACCTTTGACTCGACTACGGAAGCCGGAAAGAAACCATCTCTGGACAAGAAGAACGTCAACTGCAAAGATGTCGAGGCTGGCGAGACCAAATGGACGGGCCAAATACCAAATGCCTGGGTCTGGACGGCAAAATTGACAGGGGTATACAATGGTGTTCATCGGATGACAGTCAAGAATGCCACGAGTTCCAACAAAGAAAAGTCAACGCAAGCCACCGATCACTTCTTACTCCGTGTTGGCCAGCAAGACAACCCGATGATATTCACCTCCGCAAACTATTCCACCTCTCTTGTGCACAAGCATGATAACGGCTCTCTTTACATCCAACACCGCGCCCCGGGTGCCAACAAGTACCGGTATTCTACCAATTGGGGAACTACTTTCTCTGACTGGAAGGATTACTCGGGAGGCAATGATACGATCGAGACCCTGCCTTGGTCGGGAACAGACAAGCAAAGGTGGCAGGGGGACCATGTGCGAGTCGAATATTGGAGCAAGTTGACCGGAAGTAGTGACTACGTTCAGGAGGGTGACTATGGCTCGGATAACCCGCGTCGCTTTCCGCATCTTTTCTTCAACGGCCCTTACAACCAGTACGGATTTGATAAAGGGTTGGACAATGAGGTCAAGCAAGACAGCGAGGGGTACTGGAATTTCAAGTTTCTGGCAGAATTTCCAGCACAAGGTCAATTCAACGTGTGGGGTATGAACCCAGATGGCCAACCTGACCAGAGCTTTGTCTTTGGCGATGCAGACGGTGACGGCACTCTGGACCGTATGCCTCCGTCTTCGCTGAGTGAGGTTGCTATCAACATCTCTGATATCCCGCCCTCTCCTTACTTGGCCTGGAATCTCCGTCTCAACGATGGCACCATGCACGTTCAACTTCAACCGCACGGATCCAGAATCATTCAGTTGGTCATTTACATTTTGCTCTGGCTTGTGCCTTTAATTACGGCGATAGCTTGTGTTTATGCCTTCATGAAGAGCTTCTACCAAGTCAAATTCAACCAGGTCGGAGTCAGCGAGAAAAAGACCATTCTTCCATTGGCACTTCGAAGGAAATTTGCTGGAAGCGGAGATTCGAGCAATCCACTGTTGCGCCTCGCAAACAAATCTGGATTCCTCCAGAGCACGTCTGCTTTTGGTGCAGCAACTTCGCGAAGACGCACTATTCTAATCGCCACCATGGAATATGATATTGAGGATTGGGCTATCAAGATCAAGATCGGCGGCTTGGGTGTCATGGCGCAGTTGATGGGTAAGCATCTTGGACATCAAGACCTTATCTGGGTCGTTCCGTGCGTTGGAGGGGTCGACTACCCACAGGATCAACCGGCCGAGTCTATGTTTGTGACTGTCCTCGGAAGCTCTTATGAAGTCAAGGTTCAGTACCACGTTCTCCACAACATCACATATGTGCTGTTGGACGCTCCTGTCTTCCGGCAACAGTCAAAGGCTGAGCCATATCCCGCTCGCATGGATGATCTGGACAGCGCTATTTATTATTCCGCCTGGAACCAGTGTATAGCGCAGACCATTGGACGTTTCCCTATCGACCTGTATCACATTAACGACTACCACGGCTCGATTGCACCGCTTTATCTTCGCCCCCAGACTATTCCCATCTGTCTCTCTCTCCACAACGCGGAGTTTCAGGGGCTGTGGCCTATGCGTACGCAAAAGGAAAGGGATGAGGTTTGCTCCGTCTTTAACCTCGACCTTGACATCGCAAGGAGATATGTCCAATTCGGCGAAGTTTTCAACATGCTTCACGCTGGAGCGAGCTACCTTCGTGTTCACCAGCAAGGCTTTGGTGCCGTTGGTGTGTCCAGAAAGTACGGTAAACGTTCTTATGCTCGTTACCCAATCTTCTGGGGTCTGAAGAAGGTCGGCAACCTGCCGAACCCTGACCCGTCCGACACTGGTGAATGGAACAAGGAGTTGCCGAAGGAAAGCGAGATTCAGGTTGACCAGCAGTACGAAGCTAGTAGAGGGGAGCTCAAACGTCAGGCACAGGAATGGGCAGGCCTTGAACAGAATCCTAACGCTGATCTACTCGTCTTTGTTGGAAGATGGTCTATGCAGAAGGGCGTTGATCTTATCGCCGATGTGATGCCTGCTGTTCTGGAAGCCCGTCCCAACGTTCAATTGATCTGTGTTGGTCCGGTTATTGATCTCTACGGAAAATTCGCTGCCCTCAAGCTTGACCATATGATGAAGATCTACCCTGGACGAGTATACTCCAAGCCGGAATTTACCGCACTTCCGCCGTTCATTTTCTCTGGAGCTGAGTTTGCCTTGATCCCCTCTCGTGATGAACCCTTTGGACTTGTCGCTGTCGAATTCGGTCGCAAGGGAGCCCTTGGTATTGGGGCGCGTGTTGGTGGCCTTGGTCAGATGCCTGGTTGGTGGTACAACATTGAATCCACAACGACTTCCCATCTTTTGCACCAGTTCAAGCTTGCTATTGGAAGTGCCCTCAATTCTAAGGCCCAGGTTCGAGCAAAGATGCGCGCACGATCTGCCAAGCAGCGCTTCCCTGTTGCCCAGTGGGTCGAAGATTTAGAGATTTTGCAGACTACTGCGGTCCGAATTCACAGCAATCGACAGGCAAAATCAAACGGTCAAGCTCTGACACCCTCTGGCTACACCACGCCCAATGGAATGATGACCCCGAATGGCATGATGACACCCCCCATCGCTTCGACCGGAACTGCCACCCCAACTGGAATGCAGACGCCTCCAATTGCCCATTCAAGAGAGAACAGCTACTCGAATGTCAATCGCTTGAGTGCTTACGGGCCGCAGCAACGAAACACGATTGTGTACAGTCGTGACCCGAGCCCCGGTGAGAACGAAAAGCCCAAATCAGGACTCAGTCGACAATTATCCCTTGGTGTCCGTGCCGGGCCTGGTCATTTGATTCGCCGTGGCCGTCGTCACATGAGAAGAGGCAACGAGGAGAATGCTACTGCTTCTATGACAGAAGAGAGCAGTGACGATGATTTCATCCCTGGCTACTATGGTGAGGACGAATACACGCTCACGCCTGAACAGATGGAAGAAGAACGCCGACACAGGTCCGCGCAGCCACAAGATGCACAAGGTCAGACGAGGGACTTCTTTGGTCCCAGGAATCCAAGCCAAGCCTCGCTTCCACCTAGGCCTCTGTTGTCGACAACCGGCTCTGAGGGCGCTGAAGGAGCTCTGCCGATTGCCCGGCCGCCATTTGCCGAGCCTGGAAATCGACTCAGCAGTGCATCTGTCCTTTCAGTCAACTCCATTGTTGGTGAAAAGAAAGACTATAAGCTACAAAAGGTCGATCCCTTCTTCACTGACAGCAATGGCGAGTACTATAGAGTCTTTGACAAGAAACTCGAGAACTTGAATGGCGCCAACTCTGAATCTCAACTCTGCATCGAGGAATATCTTGTCAAGAGTGAACGGAAATGGTTTGACAAGTTCAGAGATGCCAGATTGGGTCGGAATCAATCCCCTGCTTCTTCAGTGTTCCAGAGCAAACTCGAAACCCATTCTCCAAACGGCTCAGTATCCAACGATGACATGGGTTCGCGCGAGAGTGGCAGCGATGCTCACAATGAAAAGGACGAGTTCCTTCTCGGAAATGACTACGTGCCTCCATCCGGCATAAGGAAATGGATGCAAGTCCGAATTGGTGGATGGCCTGTGTACTCATTTTTCCTTGGCCTTGGACAAATTATTGCGGCCAACTCGTACCAGATCACACTGCTTACTGGAGAGGTCGGTCAAACGCCTGAGAAGCTGTATGGGATTGCCACGGTTTACCTGGTCACGTCTATTATATGGTGGTTTGTGTTTCGCTTCTTCAAGTCTGTTGTTGTTCTCTCTGTTCCTTGGCTTCTGTACGGTCTCTCCTTCCTCATCATCGGTCTCGCCCATTTTGAGAGTGACGGGTTCTCTCGGGGCTGGATCCAGAATGTTGGAGCTGGTGTGTACGCAGCTGCATCATCAAGCGGTTCGCTATTCTTCGCTCTCAACTTCGGTGATGAAAGCGGTGTCCAGGTAAAGGAATGGGTATTCCGTGCCTGTATTATTCAAGGGTCTCAGCAAGCCTATATCATTGGTTTGTGGTACTGGGGAACTACCATCTCCCAGGCTGTCGCCGACGGAGTCACCAACGTCCAAGGCAACATCACCAATACTTGGAGAATGACGTACGTTCCCTCTCATCAGAACCACTGTGCAAAGACTCCTAGCTAACATTTAATTCCAGTGCTATCTGCGTACCGATTGCCGTGTTCCTTTGGGCAATTGGGTTGATCATTTTCTTTGGCCTGCCTAATTACTACCGCCAGACTCCTGGAAAAGTTCCGTCGTTCTATAAATCTGTCTTCCGTCGGAAGATCGTCCTCTGGAACTTCGTCGTGGTCATTTTGCAGAACTTCTTTCTCAGTGCCCCTTACGGTCGAAACTGGGCCTGTAAGTAGCTCCCATCTTTCCCCCCTTGCCGTTCCTATACGTAAAACTAACATCCGGTTCTTTGTACAGTCCTCTGGGATTCCAAGCACGCAGCAGACTGGCAAATTGGAATCCTTTGCGCCGTCTTCTTTGGCGCTGTCTGGGCATTGGTACTCCTCCTCTTCGGCCGATTATCCAAATCTCACAGCTGGATCCTCCCGGTCTTCGCATGCGGACTCGGCGCACCACGCTGGGCTCAAATCTGGTGGGGTGTTTCGGGGATGGGCCTTTTCCTCCCTTGGTCCGCTGGTGGCGCCACTGGTGGAGCACTGGTATCTCGAAGTCTCTGGCTCTGGCTCGGTATCCTCGATGCCTTACAGGGTCTCGGCTTCGGTATGATTTTGCTCCAGACCCTGACTCGAATGCATATTTGCTTCACCCTTCTTGCATCTCAGGTCTTGGGTTCCATCGCCACTATCTGTGCTAGGGCATTTGGTCCGAATCGGATCGGTCCTGGACCAATCTCACCTGATGTCACGGTTGGCGCCAGTGCCGTTGCGAATGCCTGGTTCTGGATTGCACTGTTCTTCCAGCTGTTGATATGGTAAGCCCGGAGTCTCTTTTTCCTCAGTCTTAACGCATAAAGTCTAATTATTTTGTGCAGTGCCGGATTCCTGATGTTCTTCCGAAAAGAACAGCTGACCAAGCCCTAATGATCTTCCATCATGGACTGTGCAATATACACACATTGCGCAGAGTCTAGGATGACATGCACACTGTGGGATTAACAAATGCATCTACCAACACACACAAAAAAAAAAAAAAAAAAAAAAATCGGATCGAAGATTCCTCTCGACAAGCACAGAATGACAAAACCCAGAGCCAGGAAAAAGCCGATCCGAAACCACACATAAAAAGCAACCCCGTCAACCAAGCAAGTGTTTCTGTACATTTAATTCGATATTTTGACGTCCGACAACTCTCGTGGAGGTATTTACTCATTAACTTTCTCGACTCCACTCTTCGGTCTTTCCTCCCTTGAACAGTGAACAGGGGAGCATGGACGAATGCAGAGAAGAGTCAGCTTATGACATATTCATGCGATTACGGATATGGATGTGCATTTTTCATGGGATATACATACTTTTCTTTTTGGATTATGAATTCGGATGTCGTTACGTTCCTTTGTGATTAATTGATTGATTGCCTGGTTTGACTTGATTTGATTTGATTTTGCGTTTTTTTTGTTGATTTTCTTGTTGCTCTTTTTCTTTTCTTTTTGTTTTGGTTACAACCTCCCTGTGATGGGGGTAAATAATGGGTGGAATATCTGTACTTAATTTTTTTTCTTCGTTTCTATATTTACTTTTAACTTGATCTTGGTTGATTAATTTTGGAGGTATTTATTTCTACATTTTTGCAGCGTGCTTTGAACTTTGGCTTTATTTTTCTCTTCTCTATCTGTTCTCCTGACCATACCTCTAATTATTTCTGGAATACTTGTGATGGTTTACAATAAAAAAGATACGAGAATATACAAAGAACAGTTGGATAACAGTAAATAAGTGTTTGTCAATTCCTTGTAGACCTTCTCTAAATAAACCAATATGATATCCATTATAATTAAAAACAAGTCAAAAGTTCTTTTGATCCCGAAATCATACACATTCCCAATGCGTTTCCAATTCAAAAGGTAGCTGGTTTTCCCTTGCAAATCAAATCCCAAGCTCGAAATAATAAGCGAAAAAAAAAATAGCACTGCAGCTGCATAAACGTCGTATCTTGGATGGTATAGAGGACTCTACCACTCCAAAGGTTCGTTCTTAACATCTCCCCGGTTGGTCTTGGGGATCGGCGCCGCGTCGATCCGGGTAGCGCCACGCTTGCCACGCTTGAGGTAGCCGCTGCCGTCGAGCCAGGGGGTGTCGAGTGTCCGCTTGGCTTCGAACGAGCGGATCTTCTCCTCCATCTGCAGAGTAAGGCCGATGTCATCCAGGCCGTTGACCAGGCAATGCTTGCGGAAGGCGTCGACGTCGAAGCCGGCGAGCTGGTTGCCCTGGGAGTCCTTGACTTGCTGGTTGACGAGGTCGACCTCGACCTCGCGGCCGGCGCTGGCCTCGGCGGCGATCTTCTGCAGAGCGGCTTCGTCGGAGACCACGATGGGAAGCATGCCGTTCTTGAAGGTGTTGTTGAAGAAGATGTCGGCAAACGAGGGCGCGATAATACACTTGATGCCGAAGTCAAGAAGGGCCCAGGGAGCATGCTCACGAGAGCTACCGCAGCCGAAGTTGGGGCCGGTGACGACGAGAATCTTGGAGTTGCGGTAAACGCCTTGGTTGAGGACAAATTCGGGGATTTCCTGACCGTCCTTGTAGCGGAGTTCGTAGAACAGGGCACTTCCCAGGCCAGTTCGCTTGATGGTCTTCAGGAACTGCTTGGGGATGATGGCGTCGGTGTCGACATTGGATCGGTCCATGGGGGCAGCAATGCCCTTGAGGGTGGTGAACTTGGGGAGACCAGTGCTGGAGCCACCACCGGATGTGTTGGTGTGAGGCTCGTTGTCCGCAGGCAGATCCAGAATGCGGTCGAGTTCATCCTCAGTCTCCGGCTCCTCCGCTTCCGGCTGGATATCGAACTTGGGTTGCACCTTGGCCAGAACGGGGCTGGCAACGAGGTGCTCGCGGACGTCGGCGAGCTTTCCAACGATACCTGCCGTGGCGGCCATGGCAGGGGACATGAGATGAGTGCGACCACCGGCACCTTGACGTCCTTCGAAATTACGGTTGGAGGTACTGGCGCAACGCTCCTGAGGCGACAGGATGTCAGGGTTCATACCCAGGCACATGGAGCAACCGGCTTCTCTCCATTCAAATCCAGCGTCTTCGAAAATCTTGTCGAGGCCTTCAGCTTCTGCCTGCTGCTTGACCAAACCGGATCCAGGGACAACCATTGCACGCTTGACGTTGGGGGCGATCTTCTTGCCCTTCACTACCTTCGAAGCCGCCCGCAAGTCCTCAATACGAGCGTTGGTGCAAGAGCCGATGAAGACCTTGTCGACCGGAATTTCCTTCATCGGAGTGCCAGCCGTCAGGCCCATGTACTCCAAAGCGCGCTTGCATGCAAGTTTCCGGCTCTCATCCTCGAAATCATCCGGCCCCGGGACGACACCAGTGATGGGAATGACATCCTGAGGAGAAGTTCCCCAAGAAATGGTCGGAATGATGTCCTTGCCATTCAGCAAAACTGTCTTGTCATAGGAGGCTCCCTCATCGGCGGCCAGGCTCGACCAGTAGCTGACAGCCTTCTTCCACTCGACACTATCTTGCTTGGGGGCAAGAGGACGGCCCTTGAGGTATTCGAAGGTGATCTCGTCGGGTGCGATCATGCCAGCACGAGCACCAGCCTCGATGGACATGTTGCACACGGACATACGAGCCTCCATGCTCAATCCGCGGATGACGGATCCGCAGAACTCAATGACAGCACCGGTACCTCCAGCAGTTCCAATGACACCAATAATATGGAGGACAACGTCCTTGCTAGTAACACCAGGAAGGAGTTCGCCATCGACTTGAATGCGCATGTTCTTGCTTCGACGAGTGATCAGGGTCTGGGTGGCGAGGACGTGTTCGACTTCACTGGTACCGATACCGAAGGCGAGGGAACCGAAAGCACCGTGTGTCGAGGTGTGACTGTCACCGCAGACGACGGTGGTTCCAGGAAGGGTAAATCCCTGCTCGGGACCAATGATGTGAACAATACCCTGACGCTTGTCATCCATTCCAAAGTATGTAAGGCCGAAGTCCTTCACGTTCTGTTCGAGGGTGCTGCATTGGAGGCGGGAGTCGTTTTCTTCGATGAAATCGTCGACGTTCTTGAAGCTTTTTCGCGAGGAGGTCGGGATGTTCTGTGAACGAGTCAATGACCGCCGCCTTGGAAGAAAGAAAAATAGGAATATGGTATATGTATCCACGTACGTGATCAACGGTGACCAAAGTGCAGTCCGGCCGGCGGACTTTTCGGCTGGCATTCTTGAGACCTTCGAAAGCTTGCTGTATCGGTGTCAGACAGAAATTTCATCCCCAAGCTTTGAACATCGAAATGCTGATTTATAAAGGGCACGGAACAGCTTTACTAACCGGTGAAGTCACTTCGTGGACCAAATGTCTGTCTGCAGAGTGAAGTTAGAATTTGACGCGCCAGCAGTCGAGGAATAGAGGAAGAAGCTTACCGATATATATGAGGAGGGTTCCATCTTCTTGCTCATTGACAATGTGATGATCCAAGACCTTATCATACAAGGTCTTGGGCTTCTTGTCGGCAGAAGGCATGAGGGGCAAACGGCGAAAAAGCGAATGAATTCTACAGAGATAAGAGGAGAGAAGAACAAGGAAAATTGAGCCACTGGCTAGGGTCTAGCAATGTCTCCAAGAGCTATGAGAGTCAAGAGGGTATAATCTGGAGAACGCGGAGGGAACGAAGGCGTGGATGCAATGCTTTAAAGCCCCGGCGAGACCGCGATGTCGCTCGACACCCGACGAGGGGCCTGCCCGAACTCGGCTGGTCAGCGCCCAATGCCTGGTCGATCATTGGTCGGAGGATGGACCCACCGGGACTCGAGCGCCGACACCGGCGACACCGGCGCTTAGTCGCGGCGCGGCGTCACGGGGTCTGACTAACCCCCGGCCCGTGATTGCCCAGTCGAACGATTTACGCTGCATGCAGAGACGCAGGGATGCAGGGATGCAGGGATCAAGTGGGTGCGAACCATCATCTTCACTCGTCTTGCGCCCGTACAATGACAGGGAATGGACGCAGGATTCGGTGAAATGGAGGTTTCCCCATACGAATACGGTAGAAGATGAGGGAAGAAAGGCATTATATGACGTAATTTAACACTAGTCACTGGATACTCAAGTGGGCTCAATTATGTACAAAATGTGGAATATGAGTGGAACAAGAGGGTTTCTTTGCGCGACCGATGGACTTTCAGCCTCTCACTCTCCCTCAACACTCAAAAGGCAAAGGGCGCATTCGACGCCAACAATCCAGTCGCGTGGCCTGTTACCTTAGGGTCGGGTCCAATGAAGTTGTTCGGGAAGCCCACCTCGAAAGGTCGGACGCTCTCGAGATATTCGACTTGCTCCGGTGTCAACTTGATCTTCAGCGCCTGGATGTTATCCTTGAGGTGCTCGATCTTTCTGCCACCGACCAAAGGGAACACGTTAGGCGCCTTGGCCATGACATAGGCCAGCGCGATGGCTGTCACGGATTCAATACCATGCTCGGAGGCCACCTTCGCCAACGCTTCACTCATTCTGATTTCATCTTCGGTCTGCTGACCATTACCCATCATGCTTCGCAGGCCTTCGCCCTTCTGCTTCCGCTCCTCGATGGCCTTCTTGGTCTGGAACTTGCCGCTTCCGAGGACATCCCAAGGAGCCAAAGCCATGCCGAAGTGTCGCGCCATGGGGATGATTTCTCTCTCGAAATCACGCAGCATCACATTCCAGCGTCCCTGGTAGATGCTGAAAGGCGTCTTGCCGTGGTCTCTAGCGTAGGTGTTGGCCGCGCTCACAACCCACGCGGGGGAATCGGAGATTCCCAGGTAGAGGACTTTTCCTTGCTCCACCAACATGTGAAGACTGTCCATGATCTCTTCGATAGAGGTTGTGTGATCCCACCAGTGAAGGTAGAGGATATCGATCCAGTCGGTTTGCAGCTTCCGCAAAGAGTCGCGCACACTCATGTGCAAACTGCGACGGTGGTTACCGCAGTGGTTGGGAGCGCGGCCCTTGCCGAGGGCGTAGCTCTTGTAGTCGGTGGTAAACTTGGTTGCAATCACCATTTGGTCGCGGTTCTTCCGGGACGTCATCCATTCTCCCAGCCAGGCCTCGGATTGCTCGTTTTGATAGTTGTTGGCACTGTCGATAAAGTTTCCGCCGGCCTCCACGAAGGCATCGAGGAGTTTGAAGGAGGCTTCCTTGTCCATGGAGCCCATGATCTCGGCCCAGGCATCTCCAATGGACATGGCACCCAACTGAAGAGGCGACACACGGAGACCCGCAGAGGAGGAAAGGATGCGGTAGCGACCGAGCTCTGTGGCTGGCTCGGGCGCAGGAGTGAAAAGACTCGACATGATGGCGATGATGCAAAGAGGTTGTAACAAAAAGTGTTTTTTTCCCAAGCTGTTGGAAGTCCTGTACTAATTAAGGTTGTAGAGCGTTGTAGAGATGAAGTTGAAAGACTTAAGACACCTTCGAGACTTGGGGTCGCTGGCTTTATATACGCCGTTTCATTGGAATTAGCCACTACTTACAAACCCCAGATATCATCAACCAAGCCATATCTCCGAGCAGGGCCAAACGGCTGACTTCACAGTGGGAACCCATTGACCAGTGAGGGATGGCACATCTTGGTGGTTCCGCAGTCTCCATGGTTGAAGAATGGGCATGGAATTAGGTTGGACCTTGATGACATCGGAAATAGGGGATTGCGTCTTTCCAGGCACTCTGACGGGAGGACCAGGAAGGAGTCGGTGGAGCTGCAGTGGAGTTCAGACCCCGGAGTTAAGCGGGACTGACCGCGCCTTTCGATCCGGTTCCATCGCTGCAGATTCCTATTGCTCCTTCACCTCCTGCAACCACCCAAAATATCCCTCATAACAGCTAAGTTTCTGGAAAACAAGAACCCTGCACTTGACCCGGGCTACCTTCAAGAGGCAACACCCTTACTGAATAACGGTTCCGTTGGAAAACCTGATCTACGAGCAAAGACCTGGCTGCTAGCACTCAGCATCAATGTACGAAGCGACTAATCTGCATAGTCTACGGAATAGTTGGATCAGTCCTTCCAAAACTCTTATTCTAGAGAACACAAACAAAGCCATACGATATGCCATCCCCTGTTCCTCTGTTTCCACCCCATGACTTCATCACGATAGCCAACATAATCAGCGGCTACAATCTAACTATGGAAAATGAATATACACCTTGATCTCCTCATGTCGATCGAACCGCTCGTAATACCTCGGTGCCTCGTCCAGACGAATACTTGCAGTGGAAATAAAACTGGGATGGGCCCGGCCCGCCGCAATCAACTCCACCAGATGTGGCGCCAAAATCTTGGGATCGACCACGCCCGCTTCGTACCGAAGATGCTTGCCAAAAAACTCGGTTACCGGGAATGTGATGTTTTGCGCGATAGTGTCTCCCAAAGGTGCCCCGGCAGAGCTGCTCTGAGCCATGTACACGCCGATCTGCCCAAGACCGCCATTTTGAGCTGCCACGCCGACCATGTTTTGCAGGACGATATCCTCCTGGATATCCCCTTGGGCGTTGACCGCTTCCATGCCCACGCAGTCCAATGCCCGTGTGACGCCCAATGGCTCGTGTTCCAGGATCTGTTGCACCGGGTCCGACTCGTTGAAGTTGATCGGAATGGCTCCGATCGAGGCGGCTCGCTCTAATCGCATGGGAACGTGGTCGACTGAGTAGACGCGCGACGCACCGCGAAGGAGAGCAGAATATGCAGCAAGCAAACCGACTGGACCGGCCCCAAACACGGCTACCGTGTCGCCGGGTTCAAAGCCGGAGTAATCCACAGCACTCCATCCGGTGGCGAAGATATCAGAAACTGTCAGGTAGTCTCGCTCGATGGAAGAATTGGTCGAATTGTGAGTCAAAGGCACCGGGATCAGACTGTCATCAGCGAAGGGAACACGAGCATATTCCGCTATAGAGAAACTCGCTCATTAGCTAGCTGGAAATACGCCACGGGAGAGCTGATCTATGTCGCCATTACCTTGCAGACCATCCAGACCTGAACCCCCTCCATAAGACTGAAGCCTTTCTGGCGCCATCTCCAAGTGGCCCGAACCCACATTATCAGGAATGACGACGTAATCGCCAACTGCGAGCGATGATACCGCGTTCCCGATCTCAGAAATGTATCCAATAGCCTCATGGCCCATTCCCCAGGGCGGAGTTCCCCCTTGAACTCCATGGTACATGTGCAAATCCGAGCCACAAATGGCCGAGGTGGTAATACGAACCACTGCATCACTGTGATTGATAATATTCGGACGAGGCAAGTCGACGACAGATACATGAAAAGGGTTGCCATCGTAGACGACTCCTCGCATCGTGGCGTTGAGAGCCATCTTGTACTTGGTTTCGAGATGAAAAGCTTAGAGATTCAATGATAGAAAGATAAATAACTTTGCAGTCATAGCATGATAGGCAGGTAGCATTCAGGTCTACCCTAAATACATTTTGCCAGCCTGCAAATCCTGGAATCGCGACTCTAGTCGCCCGCAGGCAGCAACGTGATAAAGAGGCATGTTGATTTCCATGAACTCAGCCAAGCCAGTGATCAGCGCCAGTGACATCAGAATCCATGGACTGAGAGTAAAGAATAGGAGACTTTGGATGTAAGCACCCGGAGATAGGGCTCAATGGCTTATAGCTGCCGATCACCCCATAAGCTCCCGAGGCCGGTCCGGGGTCGTCCGTCAGCAGCGTGCAGATAAACGAGATAAACTATGGATCAGGATGGCTTAGCACTCCCCACATGTCATCATGCTGCATGTGTCGTCATGCCTACACGCCGGGGCCTACATTTGCAAAACACTTGATTGGAAGATACGGGTAAAGGCTGCTGAGTATAGATAATGCCAATGCCAATGCGACCCCATTCTAATCTAAAAGTACTAGTATGCATAACCCGACCCATGCTCCACGCAACAAACAGGTTTCAAACCAATCGGTTGATTCTATACCGCATATCGAAATGCTCGATTGTCCTCGCGGAAGACCAGCAACGCGAGGCGATGTCGCACAAAAAGTCCAAAGAGTCCACAAACAAATTGAACAACGACCATGCTCAGGGCCAGTCGGTCTTCCTTCATCGGTCCCCACCAGACTAACCATAGATTCAGGATGGTTAGGTTTGTTGACTCCACGATCTGGCCCTTCTCGTTCTTCGTGACGCGTACCAGCCGTAGGCTGTGCAGAAGATCCAAGGCAGTCGCAACGAGAGGCGAAGGTGGGACGGTCCATTCGGTCACGGAGGCGTCCAGCAGGCCACTGATGCCATTGAATCGAGGCAGTCTGTGTCGGGGACAGGGAATCAGCTTGAAGAGCTGTGGCGTCGAATATAAAAAGTTGAAGATCTGCGGAATGAAGAGAAGCAGGAGTGTCTTGCTGAAGTGTCCCAGAATGCTGACAACGGCAAACACCATCCCAGCAAAATAGCAATACGTGTCTCCAACAAAGACCTTGGAGGGGTACCAGTTATGGAATAGCAATGCTAGCGACACACCGACAAATGGAAGGAGAAGATAGAGAGAGAAAAGGTGCGAGTCGGTGGCTGGGTGTGGAAACGGGGTAATGGGCGCGAGGTACAGTAAATCGTTCGCAATGAGTAGAACTGCAATGACGAGGGATTGGGCGACCTCCACGCCGTTAATACCGGCTAGCATGTTAATCGCATTGGGACAAAAGATGGACACTGCAGCCATGTATACATAATAGAGCCATCCAAGGTCGACAAATGATCCTAGATAGGGCTGCAATGGCACTGGGACCACCACATGAGTGACTCCGAAATCCACGAAGTAGACAATGAGCATTGGAATGGCACCGAACGCTGGTATGAGGACTTTGTGTCTCCATCTGATGTCAAGGAGGTCATCGCCAATACCCAATATGACGATGCATTGGAGAGAAAGAAGCCCAGAAAGGTAGGATGCAAGCTAGAACTTCCAAGTCAGTAACGCGGTTTTAGGAGAGGGTAAACCACACATTGGTCATTCATGAAGAAAAAAAGATTAATAGTTACTCACTTTTCCATGAGGAAATCGGTGTAGCATCCGCCCCGTTTCAACATGGTCGACCTCTAGAACAACGTCGCGATTACCTCCACCCGAAGTAGCAGCCACGATGTCCTTGTAGAAGGCAAAAGGAATAAAGAAAATGAGGCCTAGGAGATAGACGATGGCGCATACTGCTCCCATTGTCTCGGGTCTGATTTCCAGAGTGTCAGTGAGAACATGCCTCGTCATATCATGTAGTTCATTTACATGGATGAAGGAACATACATCTCAGGTCTGCGCGGTTTGGCCATGTCCCTGCCTTTTAAACCAGCCTTTATGAACACCGGTCCAAGCCATCGGATCAGACAGAATGTGACCGCAAAGGCTATTCCACTGAAAGCAATTGATGCCACCAAGGGGGCACCTTCACCTTGGAATGAATTGAAGATAATCCCAAGACAGACCCCCACAAGGATCAACAGGCGCCAACTCTCCCGCAAGGAAAGAGAACTTGAATTCGTGAAGCTCATTATAGACAGACAAAGACCAGCATGCCTGCCTCACTGGCTCCAGTCCGAGTCTATTTTTTTTTATCTGGTCCGGAAATGAGTCCAGATTCTTCAGAGCGACACCGAGGACGCGCGCAATGCAATGTGGCATGTAACGCCAGGCAAAGCAGGCGGATTCTGCCGGACCATGGCGACCGCCATGTAAGGCGGTGTACCCCGGGCCCGACGTGCTTACATAACCACCCCAGCTGAATGTTTCGCCTTCGCCGCCTTCACATGCACGGGAGGCATTCCATACATGGCGAGTCGTCACCACCCGGCAGCTCTTCCCTTCCGACGTGTCTGTATGCATCATTGTGGTGGCTGAGGCTGCTTGCCAGGCTTTGTTTAGGGTTGGTGACACCGACTCGGCCCGAGATGTCTGGGTTCGCCGATTTCGACGCCGGCCATCGTGACTTGGTTTCGGTCACCAAGTTCAACTTCTATGGCAATCGCATTGTGACGGCATCCTCGGACCATCGCATGAAAGTTTGGGACCAAAAGGATGGCGAGTGGCAGCTCACCGACACCTGGCGTGCTCATGATGCCGAGATCCGGGATGTAAGCAGCACCACCTGCCCTCAATCCCCTGTTCCCTGCCCGCGGCGACGGAGGACTGACCCCTGCAAAGGCAACGTGGAACGGGCCGTTCACTGGCCAGCATATCGGAAGTGTAGGCGAAGATATGAAATGCAAGATCTGGCAAGAAGATGTCACCCAGCCGCCCAATTCGGGTCGCCGCTTCAGGGCGGTCTTTCGGATGACGGCGCCGCAGCGACATCCGTTTGTCTCAATTGACTTCCGTAACATTGATCTCGAGTCGTACTTTGCTGTGATCACACGAGATGGCTACCTGATGGTTATGGAACCCGTGACTCCAGACACTCTTACCGACTGGCAGCCTCTAGACCAATTTCGCGTGTGTACTGCACCCGAGCGAGGCGAAGAAACCAGCTTTAGGGTCCAATTCCATCAGGATCCTACAGACATCACGCACTCCGTCTTACCTTCTTGGGATCGCAAAAGCCTTTCACTGGTGGTGGCAGCCATGGACAGCGTCAAAATATATCGCACCGACGCAAATCGTCGCTTCTATCATGCCATCGAATTGTCCGGCCATGGAGGGCTGGTTCGAGATATATCTTGGGCCAATGGCTCCGTTCGAGGGTACGATCTCATTGCAAGTGGGTGCAAGGATGGATTCGTTCGGATTTTCGAAGTGTATACTACATTATCCAACCATGGGACCCAGAACTCCAATGGGGACCATGTCGAACCCATCCATCAAACATCGACCCGTGCAACGACGCAGTCAGGAATTGGCTCCGCTCTTGCAAACCGCACACCTGCGTCGATATCGAGTCGCGCAGCAACCGACGACAACCAGTTCAAACATTCGTACAAAGAAGTTGCGTGTCTCGACAGCAAGCATCTTGATGTGTGGCAAGTGGGGTTTTCATATGCCGGTGAGTACAGCACTTATCGCCACTGGGCTCTCGCTTTCCTCTTGGACAGCTCTCTTACTCTATATACAGGCGACTGTTTGATTTCATCTGGCGATGACGGCATCGTCAGATTCTGGAAGAAATCGCTATCTGGTGAATGGCTTGAATATGCGGAAACCGACATGACGTATCAATGAGTAGCCACGTCTTGATTTGGTTGCTTTCCCCCCTCCCTCCTCCATCTCTATATTCAGTTTCTCCTTATTATGATAAGATCTCTTGACATTTTGAACAACTCGGCAAACTAGGAGGAGGATGGGCTCAAACCCTTTATTGGCGTTGCTGTACACGTGGTTGTTTTCATCAGAAACGGCATTGGATTCCTCTTCGTGTGATTGTCATGTTTAGTAGACAGTGATACCCATACACTCCCGGGGTTGAAGTTTCTAATCGTTTGTATATCGATTAGCTATCTTGACCTTTACTTAATTTATGATCGAATTGGCAGTTGGACACTCACGTGGCCACCCCCTTATGCTCCTTCCTAATGGGCCTCACATTCCGCAGCGCTGTTCGGACAGGCAATTGCAACACATAGCCCCTTCTTCTTGATGGCAATCGGCCAGACACGTTGCTTGGGCTGGAATTAGGCGAGGGTGTTCCTCACCATCATGCACCTCATACCTCGCAACGACCTATTCGATACCACCAATCTCTCCATCCTTATTCTACGATTATGGCGGTCGGTCCCACTCTCGGAACCGGTTTGTTCATCGGTTCTGGTCAAGCCCTGGCTGTGGGAGGTCCTGCCTCGTTGCTTTGTTCTTATGTATTCATATCCCTCTTGGTATACTGTCTGACCACTGCGGCTGCGGAACTCGCAGCTCATATGCCTGTCCGTGATGGCACGATGTTCACACACACGTATCGATATGGTTCGGCTCATCTGGGTTTCGCCCTTGGGTACCTTCGCTGGTACTCCCTGGCTTTGTTGGTCCCCTTTGAAATCACCAACGCGATGGTCAACCTGGCCTTGTGGGAGCCCGGCGCCCATGTGACAGTACGAATTGGCATCGTCACGGCGATAATCTTCATCTTCAATATGCTGCCAGAAAGGGTGTTTAAAAGATCGGAGACCTTCTTTACGGCCGTGAAGCTTGTGACGACGACTGGACTGATCCTTCTTTCCATTTTCCTAGCGGCTCGAGGGGTTCCCGACACCTCAATTCGGGGCTTCTATTACTGGCGTCACCCTGGTGCTGTGAACCGCTATCTTACCGGGGGCCATACGGGACAATTCTTGGGTCTGGTGCAATGCGTTCTTTTTAGCACGATCTTGTTCATCTTCAGTCCCGAGTTGACTGTGGGGAGAGCGGAAAAGGCAGACACGGAGACCGGTGCCAACATCTTGAGAGTGGCAAAAGTCGATAATATCCAGCTTTGCGTGCTCTATATCCTCAGTGCATTGGCCGTCGGTGTGATGAGCCCGTCAGATGAGCCGCTGCTGACGAATTACGGTGCTGGCGCCGGACTTTCGCCGTACGTTGTGGGCATTCGAAGAGCTCAAATACCCGCGCTCCCCGTTGTCGCCACGACACTGATATTATTTTCCTCCGTGGCATCCGCTCGCTCATTCCTGTTCATTTCTTCGCGTATTCTATGCTCGTTGGCCGAAGCGGGACATGCGCCGGCGCTCTTCAAGGAGCGCAACGGCTGGGGAGTCCCGTACGCGTCGGTGATGGCATCCGCTTTATTCGCGAGCTTCGCCTTCCTGTCCCTGAGATTATCCGTATGTGCCGTCTTCAACTTCCTGATGTATTTCATCACGACTTCGGGCTACATCTCCTGGCTGTGCTTGTGTATAATTTACCTGCGTTTTCGACGAGCGACCAAGACACAGGGGTTCGTATGCGTTCACCGGACCTTCGTCCAGCCGTACGGCACGTACTTTGCCATGCTGGTCTGCGCTTCGCTGTCCCTTGCTAACATCCTCATGACCGTGATCCCGGCGCGGCTGTCGATCCGGTACCCCGTGGCCGTGTATTTGGGGACGATCACATTCCTTCTGCTCTATATTGGACACTATGCGAAGACTTCCATGGCACAGGTTGCCGCCAGCGAAACCGTGACTATGGAGCATTGTCGAAACCCGACCGAAATCCCACATCCCAGCATACCCTCTCTGTGAGCCGGAGCGTCTGGACACGACCTTGGGATGGATTGAAGGCGTACGGGCGAGACGAGGGTCGTCCGCAAGGGGTGGGGGGGACCAACCACGTGTATATAGACCTGTGAACCAATCCATTGTGTCGACGAACGAGACAAACAAACACGTATTTGGTTGCAACGAGGAAAGACCGGGAAAGTCAGGCAGGCTGTAGGTAGTATAGGTAGGATTAGGATCCAACGCGGGCGTCGGGGGCGTGCAGGCCGCCTTGCCTCAGGCCGGGCCCAGGCATCCAGGCAGCCACGGGCGTCTCATATTCGCCACCGCCGCCCCTAAAGTCCCCTAAAATCCCTAAGGACATGACTAGTATGGGCAGGGTCAATATAAGGATGTAATGTACGGAGTAGTATTAATATTATTGTCGCCATCGTCAACCGCTTTGGGTTGGACCATCGCCGACTAGTAACTCCCTACTAACAAATAGGCCCTTCCTTTAATTAGGCCCCCGTCCTACTTTCGTCGGCTTGGATTTGGCTTTGATTTTCTTCGTTCTCCCCCTCTCTCGTCGCCAGCTCTCGATCGGTCGACTAGTTCCTCTTTTTTTTCCGAACGGTGTCTCGGGAAGATCATACTACTAGTTATCTACCACCACCCAATTTGGTTCAGATGACTTTCCTCGCCCCGTTTTCTCCCCTCTTCCTCTAAACGTCGCCCGACGCATCAACCCACTATGGGGATCGGAAATGGATCCCATCTATCGCTCGCCCTTGACCCCATCTTTCTTTTTCACTCCTGCATCTCTTCTCTCCGGATTTCTCACTCGTCCCCCTTCTGGTTCTCTCCTGGGCTTCCTCCCGTCGCCTGCGTTGTCATGTACATCGCGAGGACCCTGGGCATCGGTACCCCCCGAGAGACCTTGCCCTCCTTGCTTCCTCATTGACGAGTGCCAGACATCGCTGCCGATAGTCGATTCGGACCGTTGTCATCGGTTGGAACCTCGTCCGTTCTGATCTATTCTCCTGGTCATTATGGTTTCATGACCGGACGGGGCCCAGCGTTTGTCGCCCCCCCTCCGTGTGGCTTTGCTATAAGAAGCATGTCACGACTCATCCATCAGCCGCAGGGTTGGGCCTGACCTGACCTTCCTTTTTGCTCATCTGTGAATTTGCTCTCCATGACTAACCCCGGCCAACGGCACTAACCTTTTCTACTTCTTCTGCCCTCCTCACCGTCTCCCCTTCTCTTCTCTTTGAAAAATTTTCTCTCCGCTGGGAGAGTGTGGATTACACCTGACAGGGACTACTACTACCTAACGGACTAGTCTCCGGGGAAGACATCCATGACCATGTCGGTGGCCAGACCATGGTTACTTTTTCTTTTCTTTTCTTTTCCCTTCCGTCCCCCAACAACCACGCTTCCGACCGATTGTTGTCATGGTGAGGGATATCTCTGTCGTCTCTCCCCCTCACGGTCCCTCACCCTCCCTCGTTCCACTTGTTTACAGCAACACCGCAGCTCCTGGGGATCCGATGGCTTCCCAGCCGCCAAGGCGGTTCTTTCCCGCTAAACCCGAACAGGACTTGGGGCTGAGAATGCCCCATGCGGACTAGCGGCCTGCTCGCTTACTGAAAACGGACAAGCGGCCCATGAAACCCCGTGCCCAGGCAGCACCGGCCGGCCAGCCTGACTTCTCAGGCCCCCCTCCCATTCGCGCTCCCTCGAAACGGGTCGATGCTCTCTCCCCTCCGAGTTCCAATCCGTTCGGCTTCGTCATTGCTTTGCTCATGCCCCCGTTCGGTGCCCGTCTTTTCCCTGGCCCTTTTTTTTATTTTATTTTTTTTTTAATGGAATCTTTCCTTGGACATGATCTTTAACCCGGAATTTGCAATCACATCCAGCCCGACTTTCCCCTGCTTGCCCTGCCTTCCCCCAAACCCAAACCCAAAACCCATCGCGGAGTCAACCAAAGTCTCTGCTTCCCCCGGAGCAAGAGCGGGTGGGAAAAAAATTCGACGCTTTTCCTCTTTCATTCTGGGTCTTGGAAGCGCCGCTTGAATGGCCCATCCGTGGCTTTTAGCCTCTCTCACGGCTCTCCCTCCCTCCTCGCTCCTTCGCCCTCTCGCTCGCCCTCTCTCCCTCCCTCTTTTTTCGCTTGCTCTCGACCTTTGTTCCCTTCTTTCCTGATCTACAGATCTCGTCCCTTCCCGAGCTATCCTCCTCTCGGCTCCTCCTCTCTTACTCCCACACTTTCTCCTCGAGTCTTCTCTCTCTCTTCTTCTCCCTCCCATTCGTTCCCCCTTTGTCTTCATCCTTCATTCCATCCCGTCTTCTCTAACCACGTTGCTCTCGTCGACGTGCAATCAGAGCTCTTACTGATCATTGCCGTCGCCTCTTCGCTTGTTTGACCTCTCCTCCATGCGATTCGTGGCCCGTCCGCCTCTTTGCGTTCATCAGCTGCCGATTCTCGACACCTTCCTACCCTCCCACGGTCGCACGCGCCACAGAGGTCGACGACTCGATTAACGTCTCGATCCTTGTCCGCCTTTCTCACGCCCTCGTATCCGATTCAGACTCCTTCAGAAACGATACGCTTCGATCCTGTCGACGATTTCCGTGGTCAAAGGTCCCCGGTGTGGTTGACTGCATTCACCCCAAGACTCTTGGTCTTTTCGTCACAACTGCAAGACCCTGACTATTCACGCTCGAGCGCTTCCTCCGGCGAATTATTCACATACTAGCCGCGTGGCTGCTGTTTTGGTGTGGGGGTCAATCGTTGCTACCAACGGAAGATTACTGTCTGAAGTGACAAAGTGACATGCGTGCTGGGCTTTGACGGGTTACCCGTAAGCCGTTCGTCCGAGGCAGTCAGAATCATCACAGCCGCGCGCTTTCCCTTCGTGTTTTGCCTGAGAGGGGGTATTCTGTCAGATTATGACAGATACCCTCCCAGTCGCCACCACGCAACCAACCACGGAGCCTTATCCGGTCACCGTCCCTCTGAACTCGCCGGTCGTGAACGGCGCTGTTTCCGACTCCGCCGCTCCCGATGAGGAGGAGCCGTATACCATCAAATGCATCTGCTCTTTTGAGGATGACGATGGGAATACGGTCTTCTGCGAGGGATGCGAGACCTGGCAGCATATCGAGTGCTACTACCACGCTCAGGCCGTGCCAGAGGTCCACAACTGCGCGGATTGTGAACCCCGTTCGTTGGACGGCCGGCGCGCTACGGAACGGCAACGACGTCTCAGAGAGCAGAGTGATGGCGGTGACCGCAAAGCCAAACGTTCCGGCGCAAAGACTCAGAAGAAGAAGCCCAAGGAGCACGGCGACCAGGTGAACGGTTTTCATCACCGATCTGAGTCTGGCGCCCGAGACCATCACCCCACGAAGAAGGCCAAAACCAACCATCGCGCCTCGGGCTCCGTCAGCTCCATGTCTGGCCTTCCCTCCCTCCAGCCAGACCGAAAGCGCTCTGCCACCTCGATGAGCCCAACCAAACCCTCAGGCCCTTCAATTCCCCTATACTCGAATGAGTTCCTTCATTTGTATGAACGTGACCAGGGACATGCCAACATGGACAGTAATCTCTTCGTCAACCTACCCCTCGCTGCCGACTTGGCGTCGTGGGTGACGGAGCCCTCGGCGCTTGCTCGTGTCGCGAACGGCCGGTCGGCGCAAGATATCTTCACCTGGTCCGGGGCTGACATCGATCGGTCTCGATGGCCGTCGCTGTCCACCGAATCCATTTCAGACCCCCTTGTCGAGGTTGATGGCAAACACCCCACCTGGAAGATTCTCAAGACGGAAAATCGCGTGTCCAAGGACGAGATTGTTGGAGAGATCACTGGAAAGATCGGACTACTGCGGGATTATTGCCTGGACCCAAGCAATCGCTGGCAAGAACTTCGACACCCGGAGCCGTTCGTCTTCTTCCATCCTCAACTCCCTATTTACATTGACAGTCGACACGAGGGAAGCATTCTTCGTTACGTTCGGCGCTCCTGTCGGCCTAACGTAACGATGAAGACTTATATCACCAATGAGGTAGAGTATCACTTCTGCTTTGTCGCCAAGGAGGATATTGCTGCCGATTCGGAGATCACCGCCATGTGGTATCTGGACCCTCAACTCTTCGAGTCCACCAACGGGGTTGTCAAGCAGGAATCCAATGACAATGCACAAGATCTAGCCGCCATCTGCATTAGTAATGTGCTCGCTCACTTCGGCGGTTGCGCCTGTAGCCCCTCGATTCCCTGCCTGTTGTCCAGCGTGGATCGCCGACGGTACCCCAAAGCATTGGATCCCAACGCCAAACAAGCCGCCGCTGCCAGACGCAAGAAGACGAAAAGCAAGTCCAACATCTCTCCACCGGCCACGAATAGTCGTGCTGGTAGTGAGACCACAAAGAACGTGGATGAAGATGATCCGGCCGACAGCCGCTCGGCATCAGGCTCTGCGCGAGGACAAACCCGGAGTCGCGATCTGACGCCGACTCTGCAGACGCCCACCGAAGGGAGTGGTTTTGGGGATAACGGGCTGTCTGCGCGCGAGAGGCGGAAGATCGCTGCGGCGGAGAAGAAGTTCCAGCAATTGGAGCATGACCAGCAAACATCGCAGAAAAGGAAGAAACGTGCCAGCGGCCCAACTACGCAGGCGACGCCGACGGTCGGAAGCGCTTCGGGTCAGCCCCATTATTTCGGATTCCCAGGGGTCGACGACCGGCAATCACATTCTCCTCCGCTGACCATCTCAACCGGGCTGCCGCCCATGGCACGCCACGGATCGCCACGGAAGGCTTCCGGACCAAGCAATCCCACCGTGCCGTCGCCCCGTGGTCGTCAGCCGTATGTGGACTCGGCCATCCAAACCGAGCCAGACATTAGCGATGGACAATCTCTATCTCCTCTGCCCTCCCCTCGACGGCCCAATTTCGTTTCGCTCACCCAGCGACTGCTGAAACGGTGCTATTCGGATCGTGTACGGCTGGACCAAATCGGTCAGCAATCTCCCGTGTCCCCCTCTCAGCGGAATCACAATCCACATCTTGCCTCCCCGTCGTCAAGTCCCCATGGGCCACCTTTCACTGCCACGACACCCAGCGTGTCCGGTGAGAAGGAAGACGTGGAGATGAAAGACGTGGGCTCGCCATTGGGACTGTCTCCAGCACAGCAACAAGCCCGCGATCTTGAGTCTTCGCCGTCATCAGTCCGCAGCTCCGTCAAACCCCTGTTGCCGCCACCGTGGCCATCAACAGCAGCTCACAATGCTCGATTGCCTGGAAGCAGAGTCGGTGGCCAACCCGATGCCCAGAGGGCTCTTTCCTCTGCAACCGCGCCGTCCGTACCATCCGCCACGAGTCCAAGCTCCGTCGCGCCGTCCGTCCTCTCATCCCCGCCTACCTTAGACCCCCCTGCGCACAACGCAACCGCTCCTGGTTCTGGTGTCACGGCACCCAGTCCCGCGAAGAAGAAGCTCAGCCTAGGCGATTACTTGATCCGAAGAGGGACTTTAGCAACGCCAAGCTCGGAGAAGCCTCCGACTCCGGTAACAGCGATGCCCCCGCCCAAGTCGCCCCCTAGTCAGCCCCCGGCGCATCACGATGGGGCAACGACCCTTGCGGATAATTCACGTTCCGAGGACAAGATGATGACGGAAGGAGGCCCAGCAAAACCTGACGCTAGTTCTCCGGATGTCGCCATGAAAGATGTCTCCGAGTCGACACTCCCGTCGCAGCTTTCACCTCTTACATGATGGATGGCTTTTCCTGAATTTCCCTGTTGGGAGATTTATCTGACGATTCTCCTACCTCTCTCTGTTCGTTTTTTATCCTTTGTGACACGATTCTACCCCTCTTCTCTTCTTTCTGTTATTTTCTTTTCTTTTCTTCTTTTCATCTTCTTTTGTGCCTTCCTTTTTTTCAATACCAAGTGTGTAAACGATGGGGGATGGCGTTTGTCGTGGATACGGATTCACTTTGTTCCTTTTCTTTCTTCCCTTGTTTTCTATTTTCTCTTGGGTTGCAAAAGGCGTACCAGGCGTGTGGAAAGGAAAGCGGGTTACGGATATACTCTGGGATGTGTATGGGTAAAGGATCTGGCTTGAGATGGGCCTTTCTATCGGTGATTTATGTGCAGCATCTGCTTCACGATTTGTCTTTACTACCCTTTTTTTCGTCTTTTCGCATTACATTATTCTTGCAACTTAGTTGTTACTGACGACGTCTCCTTGCCGTTGCCAGGGACTTTCACGGCCCTTTCTATGGAACCGAGTCGATCAATTGATGACGAAATTTTTCATCTTCAAGGTCTTGTGTTATTGTCTTGTAAGAGTCCATGTGTACCAGTATTTCACCAAAGAGCTTTCTGGATGTCACGATTGACACTTGAGTAAGGAGTACTAACAAGTAACTGACTAAGTACCTCCACAAACAGCTCTCGCCCTTGGCCTCCCCTATTTCCCGCAACGTTCCTTTTACACCCCTGCGGTCGCCGTGCCCGTGGCCGTAATGGCAGAAGTCGTCTGATCGAGAATGGGAGTCGCACCGGCAATCAGAGAGGGACCGGGGATCTCGTAGTCGAGCGTGTCATAGATATTGACCAGAATGCCGGGGTCCGTGGGGGTATAAAACTCCGTCGCGGCCACTCCGTCCGGGGTCGCCGACCCACTGCCCGTGATCTGGAGATTGAAGCACTGCATGTAGTTCTGCGCCTCGTTCTCCGTGCCCGCGCTATGCAGCGCAATCAGCTCGTGCCGCAGCACGTAGTTCCCTGGCGCGATGCCCTCGGGGATCTCGACGAGCCAGGAATTGCTGTTCTCGATGAGCAGGTCGTCGCCCCAGACGCCCGGCACCGACGAGTCGTCCACCAGCCCGACCTCCGAGATCTTGAAGAACTCCAGGCTCGCCTTGTCCACCGTCTCGCAGGACGAGCCGCAGTCCGCCAGGTAGTCCAGCACCGGCCCGTGGTGCGTCTCGGGCCAGTCGGTCCACTGCAGGTGGATGCGGTCCCCGGCCGCGACCTCGGCGTGGCCTTTGGCGTTGGTGGCGTTCACGTGGCAGATGACGTCTGAGCTTGTGTAGCCGTCCGGCGAGATGAAGCCGTTGTTCGTGTTGGGGGTGCCCCAGGCCACCACGACGGGGGGGTCGTCCATGTATGGGAAGGAGTTGATGTCCCAGCCCTCGTAGGAGACGCCGTTGATGACGATGTTGGTGACATGGCCGTGGCCGGCGACACGAGAGGCCGCTAGCAGGAGGATCAGGAAAGCTGTAGAAGGTCGTTTGACATCCATGGTGATTGACTGATCAGGCAAAAGAAAGAGCAAGTAGGTTGTTCTTTCCTAGGATTGACCACTGATTGATCTAGGAGAGAGAGATTTGCTGAACAAAGCAAAGAAAACTGGCCTCGATGGGAACATGCCCATCTTTATACCTGGCCTCTTGGACCATATAACGCCTGATTCACCATTCAAATGCGCTCCGGATCAACCCCCAATCTTCCTCTATAACCCCGCTCACAACAATATTCATTCATCCGGCCCCTGGCCTTGACGCCGCGATGAAACCGCCCAGGCCTGCACCCAAACATGGCGTCAGCCTTCCCGCGGGAGCCCATTTACCACATCCCATAACCATTCCCTCTGACTGGACGCCGTCAAAGTAACTAACGCGAGGCTGGCGGGTCACGAAGGGCGACAGTATACAGGAATAGATTAATGGCTTCGGCATTGATGTTGGCTTTCCGAGTTGCAGGAGGAACGGCACTTGGTCCGAGCCTAATCGGGAAGAAGCACACGGCTTCTACGGGGGCTGGTAGCCGTATTCGGGTGGATATGCTTTGTTCCGTTGATGCATATGCATGGACATGTGTTGTGTCGATGTCTTCTGCTTTTTCCCTCTTCTTGTTGGTAGTGATTTGGCTCGGTGACGCTCCGGGTAGACGGACGGTGATTCCGAATTGGAGGGTAGGTGTATATGCATTTATGCTTGGATTTGGGGTGAGTATGGTGTCATTGCGCATTTATTGGCCTTCTCGATGTAGGTGGTTCGGACTCCATGGTTCCATTCGGATGTTCTGCAACTGAAGCGTTATCTGGCTCGGATGCTCTGCGGAGAGAGGAGCGTGGTTAATGGCATGTCTGCCCTCCTGGGAAGCGAGCAGCTCTGAGGATTGTATGTTCACGAGCTTTTTTGCTTCGAGATGAAGGTCTTGACAAATCGAAGGAATGGATCAAGTTTAGAGATGGCAGGAAGGACGAGAGGCGAGTAGAAAACGTGACCTCCTCCTCGTTGGAGACATCTCGTGACATCCTGCGGGGTAAGTCCGATGCCTTCGCGTTCGCCTCTCTTTCCCAGAGACATTCATCGACCCCTTCTCGACTTTGGACTACGTATTCCCTCAAATCCATCCCTCATGACTTCCCATGAATTGTCTGATATCCGTACTCGGTCCCTCCATGGCCCTGTCGAATCCCCCGAACTCGAACAGATGCCTTTGGCCCCGGCAGACCAGGGCAAGTCGGCATGGCTAATGTTGATATCCTGCTGTATAATTCAATTGCCAGTCTGGGGTGAGCTTCTCATCTCAAGAGATAACGTAGGCATCATGCCGACTGTCCATGCTTAGGATTCTCCCTCGTATTCGGTATCTTCCAGGAATATTTCTCCTCGCACAACATTCTCCAAGGAAGTAAAGGTGACCTCGCGATAGTAGGAACCACATCGACGGTACTAAGCCTGACTGTCCTTCCCAGCACAGATATTCAGCAGTAAATACTGAGCCGGACAGGGCGTTCTATACCTTCTCTCACCCATCTCATTCACCCTGCTCACACGATACCCCCATCTCCAAAAGCATTGCGCCTCAGTCGGTCTCCTGCTGAGTGTCAGCGGGTCCCTGGCCTCGTCATTCTCGGTGACCGTGTGGCATTTAATTGTGACTCAGGGCGTTGTCGCTGCCGTAGGCAACGGGCTGATCTTTAGCCCATCGACCTTGTACCTGGACCAATGGTTCATTCGGAGAAAGGGCCTGGCGTATGGCATCATGTGGGCAGCTAAGAGCGTCTGTGGTGTGGCGCTGCCATTCATAGCTAGGGCTTGTCTCGAACGGTTCGGGGCGAGGACTACATTACAAGCATGGACGGTTGTGACGGTGAGCCTGTGTCCCAATATCTTCTACAATGGAGATTGTCTTTTTGAAGGAAGGAATCGTATAGGTACTGACTGCTTCCCAGCTTCTCACCACCCTGGCATCCTTGCCATTCGTCAAGCCACGCATTCTTCCTGCCTCGTCGACAGCCGCGCGGCCACTCGACCTCGCTTTCCTGAAGCTAGTAACCTTCTGGATGCTCCAACTGGGAAACATCATCCAGGGATTCGGATACTTCCTCCCAACAACCTACCTCCCAACCTACTCGACCACCACCGCCGGGCTCTCCGACACCACCGGTACTCTCCTGATCGCGCTGTTCAACGCAACCTCCGTCGCAGGAGGAATCGTCCTAGGCACACTCTGCGACCGCTTCGCCGTCACCAACATCATGCTCCTATCATCCGTCGGCTCTGCGCTCTCCGTCCTTCTCTTCTGGGGTCTCTGCATCTCCCCTTCCTCCCCGTCCTCCTACCCCCAGACCGGCCTCGCCCTCCTCACCCTCTTCTCTATCACCTACGGGTTCTTCGCCGGCGGCTTCAGCTCCACCTGGTCCGGCATCCTGACCCAAATGAAGCGGGAGAGTCCCTCCCTAGAAACCGGCCTGGTCTTCGGCCTGCTCGCCGGCGGCAGGGGCATCGGAAACGTGATCAGTGGGCCGCTGAGCTCCGCACTCATCAAGAAGGGCTCTGTCGTCGCGGGCAGCGGGCACGGCGGCGCGGTCGGATATACGAGTGAGTATGGCGCGCTGATTCTGTTCACGGGCGTCACGGCCATTCTGGGCGGTTGGAGCTGGATGTGGCATTGTTTGAGGGGATGCTGGCAGGACGGAGGGAGGGTTCGATCGGGATAGATGGGGATTGGGCATCGGATCTGCATTTATCGATTCGATCTATCCAAGACAGTATACTATAGATCGCATATAGTATAGATAGTTAAACCCCAACCAGTTAAATCCAATAACAAAAAAAGAAAAGAAAAAAGAAAAGAAAAGAAATACCAACCACCTCCCGACCGGCCAAATTGGCCTCGACAAGATACGCCGACGAGCATGCACAGGCATGTACATGTACATGTACATGTACTTATGGGATACCTCATCATACGACTTACGCAAGCACGTACTTTGTGCCGTGCAGATGACATGGCATAGCCTCGTGCCAAGCAACGTGGACGCCATGTGTTTGTTTCTGGTCTGTCATTGTGAGGAATCGCGATCGATCCAATTACAGGCGTCGTTCGAATCATGCCTGTCATCCATCCTATAATCCCATGTATGTACTTGTTCCTGTACATATACGACGATCTGACATCATGCCATGCGTGCATGGGAAGGAGGCGAAGTCTTAGCTAAGATTACTAGAGAAATCAATTCCGATGAAGGCTATCGGCGCGGGATTTAGGAGATCGTCCTTGGATATTTGATGGGTTTATTTATAATCTTTGTTGTTTGTCTGGCTGTCTGTGTCGGACTGATTGCAGTCCGACGACAGAGAATGTGTATCAAGGACAAAGGAAATTATAAATCAAAATGAAACAAAAATCAAGAAAGGGCACTGGACGAATGAATCATTCGCTGAAAATCCTCAGAATGCGATGGAAGCAATCGATTATATAAAAGGAAATAGTAGAAAGGTTGGAAGGGAAGAAAATTGCTCAATGCAGTGGCGTATGACAGCATGTACATGAACTCTTGAAGCGTGGGAGACAAAAAATGCATGGAGGTCAGAAACCAAAAAAAGAAGAACAGAAAAGGAGTCTTTGAAATCATGCACGTATGCAAAAAAGAATCAGGGGGAAACGAGATAAGGGAAATAAAACGCCTCTCTAATGCTGGCAAATTTGCGTGATTCAGCCTTCTCTCGCCGATTGCGTCGGAAGATTCACAAAAGAAATAAAGATAAAAAAAGAAAAAGGGGGGAATAAAATCCTCAAGTATGGGCCATCTCTATCGCATGATCCATAGATCGTAACACCTTTCGTCTGTCATGATAACCTTGATTACAAAAGAAAAATAGGGATAACAAGCCGCCGGCTTGCCATGCGACTCCGGGGACGGCGTTCGTGGCAAACGTGACTGGCGATCATGAAAATGGGATAAACACCGAGTCGTCGTATCAGAGCCACGTCGGCACTTTTCTCGGTCGCGCCGTTGCCGATACGCTCTCGGAAGGACTGTCGGGATCGGAGTAACACTGGGAGGATTCAGGCTGGCCAGTTCGTCGCGGGTAGTTGTGCAATGTCAAGTCCAGCGAGACCCCCATCCGTGTGATTGTCACACCAGGAGCATAGTCCACGTCACCCAAATCCGGGAAGATAGATAGAACCAGAATTATGGGATCGGGGCGACGGTTGTACGGTTGGGAAATTCCCCGGAAATACACCCGGCCGGGCTAACGTCACGATCGTGCCGAGCGGCTCATCGAGCGCTCTGGAACCGGGGCGGGCGTGGGTGAATAAGATCTCGTGGCACCAATCAAGTCGACTTCATGTTCTTGGAGAACCACGGCATACTTGGGATCACGCAGGAACTTCGGCACGGAGTCCTGTGGGAGGTTAGAATGGAGACAAAAGGCAAACCAGAGTGGAATTGACTCACACTTGACATGAGCTTGAAAACGGATGTTTGCGCCATCTCGAAGAGATGCACCACCTCCTGAAGACTCTTGAACATGGATTCGTCGTCGCCAACTGCCTTGGTCATTCGGCTGGCCAAACTGTTGCGCAGAGCATGGTCGATGTTGAGTTCGCAAGGCGATCCAGGAGCCAAGAAAGCGTTGTAGAGACCTATCGTCACAATCATTAGCATCTGCTGCGGAGGCAAAGAGCAGAAGGACAGCGATTCAAGACTTACCATAAGCAGCAGCAAGCGTTTCGCGAACAGCGTCGGGCTTCTTAAACGTGCCAACCTTCTCGGCCTTGTGGTAGGCGGCGGTGAATTCGGAAACGTCCAGGTAGAACGATAGGTTTTCTTCGCACAGCGAGAAGCGCAGGAATTCTCGGAAGAGCAGTCGCAGAGCAGGGTCCCGAAGGATGTGGTTCAATCGAGCGTTGTTCGAATCTCTCGGGATACCCCGGTTATCGTATGTCGTGGTATCGCGAGCCTTGTCCCGTGCGATCCAGCCACAAACACGCTGTCCGTGATCCGTGATTCCATAGATCGAGTTTTTCGAGGGCTGGAAACCGACGATCGAGTTGTCCGGTAGCGGAACCATGCGGTCCTCCTGAAGCATTGTGATCAGTCCATACTTGACGAAGAGTTCTGCGATAAGAACGGTTTCGCGGCGCTCTATCGTAGTCGAGCAATCCATCAACCAGTCAACGGCGCCCTTTCCGGTGAATGTGTTCAGAACGATCTTATCGTTGACCTTGCGCTCCTTGGCCATTTTGACGCCAACCATTCCGTTGGAGTAATCACTTAGCGAGTCGGAATCCGAGGTGGAAATGCTGCTCTTGACATTAGGCCCGTCCTGGCCGGCGAACCGGCGGAAAATCACTTCAATCGTGGCCCGATCGTGCGACAATTTATCCGTATCAGAATCACGCTCCAGATTGACCAGTTGCATGGTATTCCGGGGCGATTCCAGCACATCGATCACATGGCGGGCGGTAATTCCATTTCTCTGGCAAAACCTTTGCAGGATGTTGATACCTTTCGGCGTGAGCTGATACAGGGCACCCTTCAATGGGAAAATATGGGCTGCCTTTCCGTCTACGGACTCAATGAAACGAGCGTCCACAAAACGTTGGCACACCGAGCGTGCCATTTCCTTGGCCATGGAGAAAGTGGTAGTCGTGGTAGTGGTAACGATCCGAGAGGGGTCCTTGGGGTCCGGCATCCGGTTAGACTGGGAGAATTTAAGAGATCCAAGATTGTTGATGGCCTCTTCCGACGTGAATGAGTGGTCATATTTCGTAAATCGTACGCGATGCGAATCCAACTTCAAGCTGACCATCAGGGTCGAAAAGAGATCCATGAAATCCTACACAAGCGACCAAGGGGTTAATTAAAAAACGAGTCCGTTCGGTCGTTCGGAAGGAGGAAAGTTTGGTGTTCAACAAAGTTTGTGCGATGGACTTACCTTCGTGAAAGGGCGGTCATCTTCGGTCATACGCAACAGCCTCGAAGAGGTTTGATGCATTTTGGACGGGGGTACAGCAGGCCCGGCTTGCGACAGCTGTGGCACTGAAGAGGGAACGTGCTGGAGAGTCTGGCGACGCTTTTCCAAATGTTCGGCAGCGGCAAAAGGGTTCGTCAAGGGTTCAATTGGAGCCGGGCTGGATTGCTCGCTACCAGCGCTACCGTCGGAGAGTGGCGGTGTCAAGGGAGAGATTCCTGCGGCTTCGCTGATGCTGACCTGGGAAGGCTTGCGCGAATGCTTGGACAGGCTGCCGGAGGAGGCTGACGAGCGAAGGGGATAAGCGGTGGTGCCTCCGATTGACGAAAGATTTGCGATGGCGCTGGAGGTCTTTTCTCGAGCTAGAGCAGCAAAAGAGCGACGATTGCGGCGGGAAATCGAGCCTATTACAGATCCAGTGAAACCGGAAGTGCTTGGGGTGAATGAAGGAGCGGCGCTTATACTGGCTGGATGAGCGGGCGAGGGAGCGACAACGGCGGGGGTTGCGGGAATAGGGTGACGAGAGTCGACCGGGGGGTTAGAGGCCGGTGCAGATGCAGAGGTTGTTTGAGGAAGGGGGGATCGATGGTGATAATTGGGATGGTGAGGATGAGAAGAGGGAGGAGATCCTTGGTCGATGGGAGTAGAGGATATGGTTGGCATTGAATAGTGCGAACCAGAGAGTGGGAGAGCAAGAGGGGGTTTGTAAGTATGTAAGTTTGTATGTAAAATAAAAAAAAAAAAAAAAAAGGGAAAAAGGAAAAAAAGGGAAGAAATGGGAAGAGGGTTTAAAAAATAAAATAAAATAAAAAATAAAAAAGGAAGGGTAAATGTGGAGGATGTGGGTGTTATGGATAAGGGAAATTGTAATTCTTTTTTTTTAAAAAAAAAAAAAAAAAAAGAAAAAAGAAAATGGAATAAAATAAAATAAAATAAAAAATAAAAATGGAATAAAATAATAATCAAATAATCAAATAATCAAATAAACTCAACCAGAAAGAAGGGGGGGGGAGAAAAAGAAAAAAAAAAAGGGCGGGGATTTTTTTCAAGGAGTTGATCAAAGTAAATTTAGTACCACCGAGTAACAACTACCACTACCTGCCTACTCCGTAGCTTTCCTAGTCTTACGGGCAATTGCTGATGCTGGTTGTCAGGAGGATTAAGCGGAGTACCAGCAGTCAGAATGGGAGGTGGAAGGGGGAACGAGAAGACACAGAAGAGAGAGCACTGGAGCAGAGGAGAGCAAGGCGGGAAGATAAAAAAAAAAAAAAAAAAAAAAAAAAAAAAAAAAAAAAAAAGGTGAGTGAGAGACAGAGAGGGTTGAAAAGTGAGCGCTGAGAGGGTCTCCAGGGGTGTGAAGAAATTCGGCCTGTCATTCTTGACCCACTGCGCACGCGGACGGTTTCATGCACCAGACAACGTGGGCCATGGGCAAAGACGGATCGTCCTTTGGGGCGATCAGAAAATGCCTTCCCTGCAGAGTCCGACTAGGGTGGGATGTCTGAGTCTGGTATGGTACGGGACGGTTCTACCACTTGTGACCAGGCACTCCGTCTCCGTCCTTCGACCAGGTGGTGGCCTGGTAGGGTCGGGCTAATGGATAGTGCCTTACGGTAGAGTTGCCTCCGCAGTAAGGTACTCTTAACTGATCCCAAGGCGTATGGGAATAAAAAGCAGTGTCGGTACTCCGTATTAAACATGACCTACACGCAGTAGTGGCCACCATCGGCGCTTCTGAGGTACGGTACTTTCGCGCTGTGCTTAATAATATCTAATGTCATCTCATCTCATCGTATCCTATCCAAAGGAGTTTGCTCGGCCCTTTCTTTCACCTCCACCCGAGTTTCCAACCCAGCCCGCAAACAAGGATACCCCTGAGCGGCTACGGAGTCCTGGGTATTCTGACTGTACCAGGGCGGTATAGGCAGGTCTCGGGGATAATACGGGCAGTTATTACGCCGACACTGGATGTTCCGTTCCAACTTCCAACTTTCAGCAAAAAGTGGGACTGTTTCCAACACTACAAGCGTCGGATGATCAGCGGAATCTACGCCTGGGGACTGAGTTTCGGCCAGATCGCCCAGCCCTCTCTTTCTCTGTCTCGCTCTTTTTTTTATTGTTTATTTATTTTATTTCAAATCCCCTGTGCTTTGTTATTCGTTCATGATGGTTGATGTGATTTTGATCGACTCGCGATCGAGAGGGGACCAATGGAACCGGAACGAAGCAGTGAGATTCCAAATCCCCCTTGACAGTTGAAACGGAGTTGGGGATGGGCTCGGACCAGTGATTATTGATGACACCGTGAAAAAGAGGGG